ATCTCTCCCAACTCGAACACCCCCGCCAGGCCAACCAGGGGGCTCTTCAGGCAGTCGTGGCCTCAGTGTAAGAGAAATGCTAGGCCCAGATACGCAGGGCACAAGAAGCTCAACTGATAGTGACATGCTCAACGCCCTAAATCGAAGAGTTTGAACGGGTTTGTTTTTCCGTGATGGGGAAATTTTTACGAGAAGAGAACGGAATAACAGATTTAAGATGACAAAAAATATATGAAAAAAAGGGCCGAGGATGACAACGAACCCAGGGTCGTGCTGGTCACGAGCGTATCAGATTATTCCTACTATTTCTATTTTGTTTTAGCGATGTTTAATTAAGATGGGGGATCATCTCGTATATGGAATATACAAAGAATTCTTTACGGACTCTACACAGGTGCTCGAGAAGAAGGGGGCTGGGTGGGACAAGTCACATGACCTATCTGGCCTAATGTTTGTTCTCCAGTTTGGGCAGCAGCATGCATCGTTTTCGGAGCGAAACCGTTTTTCGAGCAAAGCAGATGTGTCTTTACCGCTTCACATGAACGTTGCGATTTATTTTTGGTAACCTCTAGAAGCCAAAAGAGAGAAGAAGGAAAAAAGAACGGCACTGGAACGCACATGAATTTTGATGAACGAGCACCATTTGGATGTTATCTTTCAGTCGGTCTCACCATTGCAACGACTCCGTGTGTCTTGACGACAAGACTCATACGGAAGTTGTATTGTTCTATGTCTCTGGGCGTTCAGTCCAATATCGTTTGATGGATTTCCCTTTGCCTCCCGCACATACTTTAAGCGGGCAACACTTCTTTTCTGCTGCATTCCTGCGAACCAATTACCCACCGGCTTTCCCAGAAACTGCTCGATTTAACCCCAGCATATCCCCTATCTTTTTTTTTTTCTCTTGGTTTCCCGTTTTTTCATGTCCCACCCCTTCATCATTTTTATTTATTTTTTTTTTCACCCTTTTCAGCCAACAGCCACTAAAAGAGAACTTTATATAAACTACCATGGGGCGACCCGTTAATCACATTTCCCTTTCCTTGCCACTTCTTGCACCCAATTTTCCATTCTCAAGCAAAAAGAAAACTTTAAATGTGGGCGTACATGTATACCTAGGTATATATATATCTAAGCCTACCAAGTGAGAAAATGATCGTGTGGCTGTACTTGGTGAACATGCTGATATCATCTACATTTTCCTCTTCCCTCCTCTTTGCCGATTCACCCCCCCCTTTATTCCTTTTGCTCAGGCATCCCTTGCATTTATGTTTGACGTTTGCAGCATGATATATGTTTGTTATTTTGGTTCTTTTCCTATGTTACTGGGAGGTTATCTGTCTTTTAACTCGTTTTGCCTTGCTTTGTAGTTATGCATTTCTACGTTCTGTTCTGCTTTTGTGCCTTTTTTCTTCTTCTCCCGCTGTTCAAATTCCGATAATGGAAAGGCATATATAAATCGTCATGTTCTTTTTCTTATCTTGGGGTGGGAGGAGAATCACAGTAAAGTTACATTTTTTTATTATGATGTATGTGTAAATTGACATATAGTTTGTATCTCGTATTGAT